TTGAGACCCCTGATGTCTCCATAAAGAGGACCTGTTTGGTGAACTGGCTATTACATAGTGGATTCCTTAGTCCCCTATGTTATAGCAATAAAGTTAAGTCAAAAAAAAAAAAATTACAGCATTAAAAAAAAATAAAGAAGCTAAAAAAAATAAAAATAAATAACACAACATTTTTTTAAAAGTCCCCCGCCCCCCACATACACACGCAAACATGCGTCGGATGCGCCTATGTACGAAACCGACGATTGCGCCCATTATGCAGCACATGTTACATATCGCCGCGAACGTCGCAGTGAGAACAATAATTCTCGGGCCATCAATCACTGATAACACTAAACTGATGAGCGGTAAAAGCGCTTAAAGCGTCGCCTATGGCCAATTTTGGCTGCGGTCGTTTTCTGCGATTTCGCGGGTGTGCGCAATTTTAAAGGTTGACATGTTTAGTGTCTATTTACCCGACGTGACCCCGTCTTTTATATTGTACCAAAAAATTGGGGTAAAAATAAATGTTTAATCAAATTTTATAGGGAAACATGTTTTTTTTCAAAATTTATGGTAATTTTTTTGTTATATAGTAAAAAATAAAAACCCCATTGGTGAATAAAAGCCACCAAAAGAAAGCTCTATCTGTCCCCAAAAAATGGTATGAAAATCGTTTCAGTAAAGCGTTGCATGACGGAATAAACATCAGTCAAAGTACCGCAGCACTGAATACTGAAAAATGGCCTGGCCAGGAAGGGGGTGAAACACTATGGCCTTTAAGTGGTTAATATTGTTTGCGTGCTCCACCCTTCCATGATGCCCAATTTGTGGGCATTCCCATTTCGAAGCTCAATTGCTACCGCCCCCTCTGCCGTGGGTCCTGTGTATGTGCTCTACTTTGTAGAGGAGCTTTGCACCGACATGCCCCCTCCCTCTGCATAATTAGTAAGCACACTGGTCGCATGCAATTGCCTGGTGCCAGAGACAAGCACTGTGAATCACAAGTAATTATTAGTTTCCCACTGAGCAGTGTGGTTGAACATCAGTGGGGGAAGGGGGCACACTGTTGGCCACGCTAGCTCAGCATCCACAGCAACTATCATGTACTTTGCCCCCAGGGGACAGAAGCAGCAGAGATGTGTATGGTGAGCCTTCTTTAAAGGAGAACTATGAGATGAGTGATTTCCACTCACCTCATAGTTCTAGCCGACCTGTGACAATGAGACTGTCACAGGTCGGCTCAGTAGATCGGGAGGTGAGGGAACACATACCGGCGTTCGCTTACCTCTCGATCCTGTCACGGCAGAGGGTGGTGACAGGGGGAGGGGCTGGATTCCCCTCTCCCTACTCCGATCTGCCAGCGCTGACTGGCGGAACGGACGGGGGAGGGGGCGGGTACAGCTGGCTCTGCCTCTAGATAGGCAGAGCCAGCTGTCGCTCACGCAGCTGGGCGGATCTCGACGTCGATGTCGGGATCCGCTGCGGCGTCTCAGTATATAATGAGCTGTAGCTCGCGGTATACTGAGATTAGAGTAACGGGAGGACGCTAGTTTGTGTCCTCCC